GTCCAAAACTAAATAGTTTCACTGGTTAATTCTACCGAACACTTGAGAATTAATACCATTCCTTCTCAAACTACTCAAAAAAAAATTGAAGAATAAGGAACACTTCCAAACTCATTTTCCAAGGCCAGCATTATCCTGGCACCAAAACAAGACAAGGACATTACAATAAAATAAAATTACAGGTCAATATCCTGATGAACATAAATGCAAAAATTTTCAACAAAATATCAGCAAATTAAATTCAAAGTACATTAAAAGAATCACACACCATGATCAAGTGGGATTTATTTCAGGAACATAAAGATGGTTTAACATCCACAAATTAATGTGATCCATCACATTAACAAAACGAAGGATAAAAATTATCTGATCATCTAAATAGTTGCAGAAAAAGCACTTGACAAAATTCAACATCCATTCATAATAAAAACTCAACAAACTGCATATAGAGGGTATATACCTCAACATAATAAAGTCTATATGTGACAAATCCACAGCTAACATCATATTCATTGTTAAAAAGCTGAAAGCTTTTCTTCTACGATCAGCAACAAGACAAGGATGCCCACTCTCATAACTTTTATTTAACACACTACAGGAACTCCTAACCAGAGAAATTAGGTAGGATATAAAGAAATAAAAGTCATCCAACCTGTTTCTATTTGCAGATGATGTGATACCGTATGTTAAAAAAAAAAAAACAACCCTCTAAGGACTCTACCAAGGACCTTTCAGAACTAATACACTAATACTAATAAATTCAGTAAAGTTGCAGGATACGAAGTCAATTTACCAAAAAAAAAAGTCAGTTGCATTTTATATGCTAAAAACAAACCATCAGAAAGAGAAATTGAGAAAACAATCCTATTTACAATTGTACCTCAAAAAATAAATACCTAGGAATACATTTACCCAAGAAGATGAAAGATCTCTACACTAAACACTATAAGACATGGATGAAAGAAATTGAAAAAGACACAAATAAATGGAAAGATACTCCATACTCATGGACTAGAAGAACTGATGTGAAAATGTACTTACTACTCAAAGTAATCTACAGATTCAATGTAATTCCTGTCAAAATTCCAATGGCATTTTTCACAGAAATAGAACAATCATTCTTAATTTGTGGGGAACCACAAAAGACTGTGAATAGCCAAAGCAATCTTGGAAAGAAGAAGTAAGGTAGAGGTATCACACTTCCTGATTTCAAACTATATTAAAAAGTTGCAGGGGCGCCTGGGTGGCTCAGTTGGTTGAGCATCTGACTTTGGCTCAGGTCATGATCCCACAGCTCATGGGTTTGAGCCCCATGTCAGGCTCTGTGCTGACAGCTGGGAGCCTAGAGCCTGCTTCGGATTCTGTATTTCCCTCTCTCTCTGCCCCTTCCCCGCTCGTGCTCTGTCTCTCTCTCTCTTTCTCGAAAATAAATAAACATTCTAAAAAGTTTTTAAGAAGTTACAGCAATGAAAACAGTTTGGTATTGGCACAAAAACAGATATAGATCAATGGAAGAGAATAGAGTCCAGAAAGAAACCCATGTATACATATGCTCAATCAATTGACAACGAACCAAGAACATATAGTGCAGGAGGGTCATCTTTTAAATAAATGGTGTTGGGAAAACTAGACAGTCACATGCAAAAGAATGAACTGTACCCATATCTTACATCGTACACAATAATAAAGTCAAAATCGACTGAAGACTTGATCATTAGACCTGAGATTGTAAAATGTTTAGAGAAAAATACAGAGAATAAGCTCCTTGAAATTGATCTTGGCAATAATTTCTTGTTATTTGATAGCAATGCGAAGGTAGCAAAAGCAAAATAGAAGAGTGGTATTATATAAAACTAAGAAAACTTTTGCATCGCAAAGGAAACCATTGAAAAAGGAAAAGGCAATCTATGATGGGAGAAAATATTTGCAAACTACGTATCTGATAAGGGCTTAATATCCGAAATATATGAAGAAGCCATACAACTCAATAGCAAAACAAAACAAGAACCAAACTGATTAAAAAATGGCTAGAGAAGCTGAATTTTTCCAAAGGATGCATATAAATGGTCAACAGGTACATGAAAAGATGCTCCACAAGGCACCTGGGTGACTCCGTTGGTTAAGCGCCAGATTCTTGATTTCGGCTCAGGTCATGATCTCAGGAGTCATGAGTTTAAGGCTCTGTGCTGACAGTGTGGAGCCTGCTTGGGATTCTCTCTCTCTCTTCCCCTCCCCTGCTTGTGCTCTCTCTCAAAAATAAATAAATGAGCTTAAAAGAAAAAAAGATGCTCCACATCACTAATTATCCGGAAAATGCAAATCAAAACAACAATACTATCTCCCTCCCATTAGAATGGCTATAATTAAAAGCCAAGAGATGACAAGGGTTAGTGAGGATGTGGAGAAAAGGGAATTCTCGTGCACTGTTGGTACTCCACTATGGAAAACCCTGAAGTTTCCTAAAAAATTAACAAACTAGAAATACGACACAACTCCACCCCAGGATACATATCTAAAGGAAATGAAAATGAAAATAGGATGTTGAAGAAATATCTTCACTCCCATGTTCATTGCAGCACTATTTACAGTAACTAAGACATGGAAACAACCTAAGTGTCCATGGATGAATGAACAAAGATGTGAGATAGATGTATATCTGTATACATCTATCTATCTCACATGGATATAGTGAAATACTATTCAGCCATAAAAAATAAGGAAATCCTGCTGTTTGTGGCAATTTGGATGAACTGAGTGGAATAAGCCAGACAGAGAAAGACAAATATGGCATCACTTACATGTGGAATCCAAAAAATAAATAAAATTTTTAAAACAGTCAAACTCATCGACACAGATTGTAGAAAGCTAGTTTCCAGGGTTTGAGGGTGGAGTGGAAGTAGGAAGAGGTTGATGAAAAGTGTACAAACTTTCTGCTATAAGATGAGTAAGTTCTGAGGATTTAGTGTAAAACATGGTGACAGTAATTGATAACAATATACTGTATAACTGAAATTTGTTAGCAGAGTAGAACGTAAATGTTCCTACTGGAAAAAAGAAAGAAAGAAATACATGAGGGGATGGATGTGTATGTTAATTAACTTGACTGGGGGAGTCCTTCCATAATGCATATGTATATCAAATCACTACAATGTACATTTTAAATATCTTACAGGGTTATATGTCAGTTATTCCTCAGTAAAATTAAATTAAAAAAATTATCAAGCTTATAAGAGTAGTTCGAACAGTTATATATTTACTATTTTTGCTTCTAAGTGGTCTCGTAATTTAGCAGTTTCCCCACTCTGTCAAATCATAGTGACCATTCATCAAAAGATATTACTTGGTAGAGCGGATATGTCTGGATCAGTTATATCCTCCCATCCCTCCTTTAGATTGGTCTCTTTTCCTCACAAATCTTTATCGAAAGTGATTTTCTTCAGCTGCTTGGAAATGTTACCATCATGAACACGTTAACATACAATGTGCCATCTGGACTATGAACCAGGAAGAAATTCAGCCTATATTTACAGTTGTTAATCAATAGGGTTGCCCTGTTTAACCCTTACGCAAAAAGAGCAGTGAAAATATTCATCCTAAACATGAAGCATTTATGGTTTAATAAAATGAAGGTATAACTAAGAAATTTAAGCATCAACATTCTGGGGGTGGCTCAGTCTGTTAAGTGACCAGCTCTTGCTTTCGGCTCAGGTCATGATCTCGTGGTTCGCAAGTTTGAGTCCTGCATAGGGCTCTGCACTGACAGTGCGAAGCCTGCTTGTGATTCTCTCTCTCTTCCCCTCCCCTGCTCTCTCTTTCTCTGTCTCTCTCTTTCTCTCAAAATAAATAAATAAACTTAAAAAAGTATCAACATTCTGAATATAAACTAAAAAGGTTAAGGTAAATGGGCATAAATATTTCAGCTGCTATTTCTTCAGAAATGTGTCTTTCCCTGAAGAGAAAATTGTCTGTAGCCACTGAGAGACTGAAGTGTCTGAGCCTCGTTGCCCAACTACAATTCACATGTGGCCTTCTCTTTTGGAAGAAACTCAAAGCGATTCTCCAGCATGAGAAAACCATTCCCACAACTGTCAAGATGCTACGTCACAGCTGTAATGTCCACACTAATTTTTCCAAGGAAATTATGCTTTTATGGAGAAATTAAAGCAAATTTTTTTTTTTTACAGAAAATCCTGAAGAACTTGACAGAATTTATGTAGCCAATTAATTCTGAGATGTAGCTACAACCAGGTTCATTGCTTTCTCTTGACTATCTTTAGGACCAGTAGTTTCTACTGAGTCTAATTTTTAAGCCATGCAAATTACAGGAGGCTTCAGAATGCCAATAATAGCATGCTGGGGTTAATTATTGACTCAGAAGGGAGAATGTCAACTACTGAATCATCTACTTATCTCTTGCCACACCTGGGGTTTTCTCTGGACGACTTCCACCCAAGTGTTGACAAAACTTGACCTTGGATACTCGCTAAGATTTATTGGGACTATTGCCAAAGGTACTTATGTGCCAATAGGACAGGCTCCACATACATTAGCCAGGTGATTCTGCTCCACATATGGCAAGAAGAGTACTTTTTGAGTTTTCCACATTAATACTGATGGAAAGCTTCTAGACAAAAAGGCTCTTATTGCTGTAATCCCACGCAGTGCCCTGGATCCTATCCTCACGTAAACTTTAGTGCATAGCTAAGTCGAAAGACTAAGGCTCATTGATGAGTCACCTGGGAAGAATAAGCATGCCCATTTATTAAAGGTAAAATACAGGCTCACAGCCAGAATACTACATTTATACCTTCTGAATGGTCTTGGCAGCAATCCTAGTGGGGTGGGGGTGGGGGACAGGGGGTCCATTATTTTCCAATTGAATTAACTGGAGCCAAAAGTACAGTTCTGACCCCAGCTGTGCTACTGATTTGTCTGGGGAAAGACACTTAACCTAGAGTCTCCCAATTCTCCTTGGAACATAAAATCATTAAGTAACTGACCTTGAAGGTTATTGTGAGGAATGATGACATTTTAAGGAGGCTTGGCCTTCTCAGAAAGGGTGCTTCGCAGCAGTCTCAAAGGCCTTGGTGCTTCCACAAGGGGTGGTAAATAGATTAAAGAGAGTGAAATAACAGTAATAAAAAGGGAATTATAGAAAAAGACTAAATAATGTTGTCTAGCCTGTTAAAACCATTTCTTGCTGCTATTATCTGTAATTTCTAGGTCAATTATGCTAATGTCAACCCAGGGCCTAACTGAGTTAAGGAAAGAACACAGGAAGATTTGTATTGACACGATGTCAAGAGAAGAGTGGCATGGGGTATGGAAATGCCTCATCATGCCTCCATTTGTATATAATAGTCTGCTTTGGTGCAAGCTTCTAATAGAGCCTGATGGTTAATCGTATCCCATGTGGAGTGAAACTTGTGCCTCACTAGACTACACATCCCAGAGATACTAGTTTCACAAATGTGAGGTTGACAGCAAACTTTTCACAACTAATTCTCTAGAGAGTATGCTTTAAAAAAGTCTAGACAATTGGCCAACAGTATTTATTGAGTGTTTTCTGCATGCCAGGTCTGGAGTAGACTCTTTAGACTTAATCACAAATTATTGTCAGGTCGTAAAGCAAATTCAGTGGATGAACAGAAAATATCTAATATAAAAATTGAAATGTATTAATTTTAAAAGTTAACATATAAATAAATTGTCCTGCCCATTGTCCCCTAGGAAGTCTTCACACCCCAGGAGAAAAGATTTACTCCCTAATTTCCACACCCCTTACACCTGCCATATGCAATGATGACACATATTCTTCTTTTTTTTAATTTTAAAAATAGGTTTTATTTAATACATTATATCCAAGATAATATCATTGCAACATATAACAGATTATTTTAAAAATTGAGATATTTTGTATCCTTTTTTTTTTTAACTAACCTGAATCTGGTGTGTATGTAGATGTCACAAAATTTATAGTCAAAGCAAGTAGATTCGAATGTCCAAGTTGTTCCAAATACAGTTAAAATTTTTCTAATAACTCAAACCAAGAACCGATTTTTAAATTTAAATTTCAATTCATTAAAATTAGGTAAAATTGATGAGCACTGGATGTTTTATATAAGTGATGAATCACTAGATTCTTTTTTTTTTTTTTTTTTCATTTACATCCAAGTTAGTTAGCATATAGTGCAACAATGATTTCAGGGATAGATTCCTTAATGCCCATTACGCATTTAGCCCCTCCCCCCTCCCACAACCCCTTCAGTAACCTGCTGTTTGTTCTCCATATTTGAGAGTTTCTTATGTTTTGTCCCCCTCCCTGTTTTTATATTATTTTTGCTTCCCTTCCCTTGTGTTCATCTGTTCTGTGTCTTAAAGTCCTCATATGAGTGAAGTCATATGATATTTGTCTTTCTCTGACTGACTAATTTCACTTAGCTCTAGTTCCATCCACATAGTTGCAAATGGCAAGATTTCACTCATTTTTATTGCTGAGTAATACTCCATTGTATATGTATACCACATTTTCTTTATCCATTCATCCATCGATGGACATTTGGGCTCTTTCCATACTTTGGCTATTGTTGATAGTGCTGCTATAAACATTGGGGTGCATGTGTCCCTTCGAAACAGCACACCTGTATCTCTTGGATAAATACATAGTAGTGCAATTGCTAGGTCATAGTGCAGTTCTGTTTTTAATTTTTGAGTAACCTCCATACTGTTTTCCAGAGTGGCTGCACCAGTTTGCTTTCCCACAACAGTGCAAACGAGATCCTCTCTCTCTGCATCCTTGCCAACATCTGTTGTTGCCTGAGTTGTTAATGTGAGCCATTCTGACAGGTGTGAGGTGGTATTTCATTGTGGTTTTGATTTGTATTTCCCTGATGATGAGTGATGTTGAGCATTTTTCCATGTGTTGCTTGGCCATCTGGATGTCTTCTTTGGAGAAGTGTCTATTCATGTCTTTTGCCCATGTCTTTTGCTTCACTGGATTATTTATTTTTTGGGTGCTGAGTTTGGTAAATTCTTTATAGATTTTGGGTATAGATTTTGGCATAGATATGCCTTGTTGATGGTCGGTTTTTGTTGAATTTAATGGGAGTCCTCTGTGCTTCCTGGATTTTGATGTCTGTGTCTTTCCCCAGGTTAGGAAAGTTTTCTGCTATGATTTGTTCACATAACCCTTCTACCCCTTATTCTGTCTCTTCTTCTTCTGGGACTCCTATGATTCTGATGTTGTTCCTTTTTAATGAGTCACTGATTTCTCGAATTCTTTTTTTTTTTTTAATTTTTTTTCAACGTTTATTTATTTTTTGGGACAGAGAGAGACAGAGCATGAACGGGGGAGGGGCAGAGAGAGAGGGAGACACAGAATCGGAAACAGGCTCCAGGCTCTGAGCCATCAGCCCAGAGCCTGACGTGGGGCTGAAACTCACGGACCGCGAGATCGTGACCTGGCTGAAGTCGGACGCTTAACCGACTGCGCCACCCAGGCGCCCCTGATTTCTCTAATTCTTAAATCGTGCTCTTTTGCCTTAGTTTCCCTCTTTTTTTTCTGCTTCATTATTCTCCATAAGTTTGTCCTCTATATCATGGATTCTCTGCTCTGCCTCATCCACCCTTGCTGCCATGGCACCATTTGGGATTGCAGCTCAGTTATAACGTTTTTTATTTAATCCTGACTAACTTTACCTTCTTTTATCTCTGCAGAAAGGGATTCTAATCTATTTTTGACTCCAGCTGGTATTCTTATTATCATGATTCTAAATTCTGGTTCAGACATCTTGCTTGTATCTGTGTTGGTTAAGTCCCTGGCTGTTATTTCTTCCTGTTCTTTCTTTTGGGGTGAATCCCTTTGTTTCATCATTTTGAAGAGAGAAAAGGAATTAATGAGGTAAACAAATTAAAATAAAAATGTTTTAATTAAAATTAAAAAATTAAAAACAATACACACACAAATCAAATAAATGATGCTAGATCCTAGGTGTGTTTTGGTCTGGGTGTTGAAAGGTGCTTGATAGATTAGAGAAAAAAGGGGAAAGGAAAAAAAAGGAAATAGTTTGAAATTTTGAAAAATGAATACACTGAAATAGAATAAAATGAAATGATGGAAGTAAAATAGAATTTGAAAAATTTTACACAAAAGTAAAAAATATAGTAGAAAAAGTAAAGAAAAATATTTTTAATAAAAATTGAAAATTAAAACAAAATTTTTCTCTTTCTGTATTCAAGAAAAAGAAATGAAAAAGAGAAAAAAAAGGAAATTGAAAATATGGACCAGCAAACAGACTGAAATACGATTGAAATTACTTCGTTTTCCCCTAGAAATCAAACTGTGATTTATAGTCTGTAAACTAAGCAGGTGGAGAGATTTGTGTTCCTGAAGCGCGAGGTTGGCCCAGTTGGGTGGGGCTTAGTGTAAAGGCTCCATTATGCACTAGATGGCAATGCTTAGCTTACTGGGCTGGATCGTGGTGGTGCTTGTAGGTGGGTAGGGGCGTGCACGGGAGTGGTGAAAATGGCGTCACCTAGCTACCAATCTCCAGTATCTGAACTCTGTTCTCCCTGATCAGTAATCGCTCACCTGTCCTTTGACTCCGGCTTCTGTCCACTCCCTGCTTTTACACTGTCCATGACCAAGCCCCAGGCAGCACCTCCCTCCTGTGTTTTATCTCAGATGCGGCTGTTTTTCCCGACCCTTATTTCTGAGGGACTGTGGCTCTGACCCATTTTGTCCCTCTGTGGAGGGTTTCACCAAGCAATGGCTGGATGCCAGCCACACCTAGGAATGTTCGCAGGACTGTTCTGGTGCCGATGCCCAGAGACTGGGGCTGGCTGCCAGCCCACCCCAGAAAAATTTCACGTGATCGTGTAGCAGCAGCATTTCAGGGATTATGGAAAATCACAACACACATCTGGCACCAGGCTTCACTCCTAGCGACCTTGTTCCAGCACCAGCGAATGTGGCTGTTCCATGGGGTCTGCTGGCACCTTTGTCAGCTGCACAGCCTCTACCAAATGTCCTCCCAGCAAGGGAACCACCTTTCCCCTTGTGGCCTGACAACTGCCTGGGCTTCACTCTGCTCCTGGGGATTCGCCCTTCTCATCAGAGCATCGCCAGGGATCCAGCTGCGGAGTTGCAGACTCTCCGCTCCCCTTGTTTATAGTCTTAGTGGAATTTAAACGCTCTCTTTTCTCCTTTCTCCCTTTTCAGTTCAGTCCCTGTGGCTGTTTCCACTTCTCCACTTTCTCTCCAGCTGTTTTTTTTTTGGGGGGGGGTGCTTTTCCCAAGCTCTCCCCCCACACCTCCCCCGTCTCCTTCCTGTCTCAGCCTGCAAAAGCACCTCCCTTCCCGCGGCTTCTCTCTCCCCCAGTTCACCTCTCCGTGCCACGTACCTGCTGAGTTCCGTGGTTCAGGTTGTGCAGATTGTTGTGTTATTCCTCAGATCAGTTTTCTAGGTGTGCAGGGTGGTTTCGTGTTGATCTGGCTGTATTTCATGGTCACAAGACATAAAAAAACTGCCATGCTGTTCTGCCATCTTGGCTCCTCTCCCTGATGACACATATTCTTAAACTCAGGTACATGGGTCTTTGTCCTGAGACAGGCTTCCCAGCACACAAATAAATTTCCCTCCACATAGGAAGCTATCTGAATAGGGCAAAGAATTCTTCCCTAATAACTGGACACTTGAGACTGGGTAGGACAATTAGGCCATTCCTTTTGGAAAAACCCTGTCTTCCTTATGGGGCCCAGCATTGGTGTAACTTTATCTGAATGTGCACAAGTTTTTGTTGACTCTTGTGTAACCTGGGAAAGGAAAGGAAAGGGATGAGGCCCTTGATATGTCAGCACCATGTTGGTTCAGTTTTGACATGTAATGTAGTATGCATAGTATGCATTCCTAACTGGGATCTGTAAGCACGGCCTCCATGTTCAGGGTGAACACCCATTGACGACTGTCTGGGTATTGTGGATGGGGAGACAGTCCTCTGCTCACACCTTGCTCTAAGAGGCAAATCCGGGTAACATTTGGGTGGACAATCCCTACACCTCCTCAGCCAAAATAACTATTTGTTCTAGCCTTTTTCTCACTTTATTCCCCAGCACTATCAGGCAACTGAGTAGATGTATTTCCAAGAAGTCTAAGCTCCATTCTCTGATATCTCTCTGGATTCCCCAAACCCCCACGAGTGTGTTTAGCTTCTTCGTTATCAGCTGTAGATTTTCTTCCTGGGAACAATTTACCATGAAATGTCCATTTTCCAGACAAGCAAAGCAAAAAGATGTGCACAAGTAGAAAATAGTCAAAGGTATTAAGGTAGAGGATGAATAGTATATTACAATTAGTTGTACAAAGAGATTGACCTAGAATCACATATTATGACTTCAAATATAGGGAGGGAGGAGAAGAATAGGGGGGAAAAGGTAATGCATGCTGATTGATATAAAATTTTATTCTTGGAGTTGATAATGTGAAAAATCTGGTTAAATATGTTCTTAAAAGTTTTAAAGCAGCCAGTGGCATACCACAGAATTAGACTAAAAATGTAACACAAAAGCTATTTATTGTAATAATCAATTTAAAAATTAAGTGACCCAATTAAAAGAGATTCTCAGATTGAGTCAATTAACTTAAACTATTCTGTTTACAAGTAGAATTCTGTGAATGACTACACCTAAAACAAAGCTACCCATTTAGAATAAAATCACAAGATGAATAAGAATGTAGTAGACAAATACAAACACAAAGAAATCAGACATGCATTAAGATGGGCAGAGTGTGCGAGTGGGAGTGGAGGAAGAGGGGAAGAGGGAGAAAGAGAGAGGGAAAATCTCAAGGAGTCTCCATGCTTAGCATGGAGCTTGACACAGAGCTCGATCCCACGACCTTGGGATCATGACCTGAGCTGAAATCAAGAGTTGGACATTCAATCAACAGAACCATCCAGGACACACCCAGAGGGTCTTTTTTATTTGATGTGAAGTATAACTGATTTACTAATTTCAACATTTATTGCATGCCCACTATCTGCCATATACTCTTCTGGATGCTAAAGATACAGTGGTGAGCCAAACAGATGAATGTATAAATGACAGTAAAACAAGGCAAGAGGATAGAGAATGCTGAGAAGTTGGGGTGGAGGGAATGAAGATGTAATAAAGGATTATTTTTCCTAAAATATATAAAGAAAACCACTGGTAGAAATATAATCAGAAATAGAAATACAGTTCCACTACATCTCTTTAATACATTCACTCACTTTTTTGACAGATGAACAGGTAGATATAAAAGGAGATACAGAGAACTTTAATAATGTGCCATTAACATCTTGACTTATTGATGTATATGTATATATTGTGCACAATCTCCATGCTTTACAAAGAGAAAACATTTTCCTCAGGATCTGTGAGTATTTAAAAAAATATATATCATCTACTGTGTCACAAAAAACACAATAAGTTTTCCAAAGCAAAAATTACACAGACTATATGTGAAATAAAATTAATCATTAAACAAATTTTTTTAATGTTTATTTATTTTTGAGAAAGAGAGGGAGAGAGAGAGAGACAGAGCACAGCAGGGGAGGAGCAGAGAGAGATAGACACAGAATTGGAAGCAGGCTCCAGGCTCTGAGCTGTCAGCACAGAGCCCAGCACGGAGCTGAAACTAACAAACCGGGAGATCATGAACCGAGCCAAAGTCTGACGTTTAACCCACTGAGCCACCGAGGTGCCCCAAATTGGGCTTTAATTTTAAAAAGTATTAACCCATAGCCTGTGTGAACATTAAAAACTCCCTTATATAATTCTTGAATCAAAGAATTTAAGAAAATGACAATGGAAAGTGTTATATATTAGAACATGAGATAGAGTCAAAGAAGTATCCAGAGACAAATTCATATCATTAAATACTTTCATTTACCAGCAAGCCATAAGGAATGCAAGTGACCTAAAGCCAGAATTTCCTGAACTGTCCACAGCACCAAACCACAAAATGTTAGTAGTATACTGTAGAAAGTATACTGCACTACAGAGAGTATACTACTCTATATGATGTATATATATTATACTATACTATTCTATGAAGTATACTATACCATAGAAAGTGTTCTGAGGTAAAAATAATTTGGAAAATGCTGTGTTAAAAAAGCTAAACCTTTTTAAATTTGAGAATTCCTCGGTATCTTTCATGTGATAATGAGGGTTGTAAAGCACTAAGAGGAAATACAATATTCACTGTTTCCCAAACTATTTGATCAGAGAAAATTTTTTTCATAGTATACGTATTAATATCCAAGGGCAATGCTCTTCTGAGTAGTTTAGGAAACATAGAGCTGAGCATTCAACTTAAGAAGCATTGAGAAAGAAGTAATAGTAAAAGTGAAAGTAATAAAACCACAAATTGTCCAAATTAATAGATAAATTCATAATCTGGTTCTCTAAAAATAAAATAAAATGGATTATACTTGATAAGCCTAAATGTAGAAAAATAACAATACTATTTGTTATAATAAAATTGAAATACCAATGAAGCATTTTTGAGTAAACTATATATTGCTTAAATTAGCTCAAAAGGAAAACAGAAAGTCAAGAAAATAAATATTATGATAGAATTGGGGGAAAAAGTCACTTAAGTGCTTTTATTGAAAGGTCACAAATTACATGATTAGTTATTTTGGAAGTTAAACAGATAATTCACTTATTATATAAATGGTTCCAGAGAATAGGACATCATAGAGACCTTACCAGTTCATTAAATTTTTTTTATGTTTATTCATTTTTGAAAGACAGAGAGAGACAGAGCACAAGCAGGGGTGGGGCGAAGATAGAGGGGGACACAGAATCTGAAGCAGGCTCCAGGCTCTGAGCTGTCAGCACAGAGCCTGACGCAGGGCTTGAACTCACCAACTGGGAGATCATGACCTGAGCTGAAGTCAGATGCTCAACCGACTGAACCACCCAGGAGCCCCCTTACCAGTTCATTTTCAATATCTAGAGTAATATTTGTTTTAAAATGAAAACAGGATTGTTCAAAACAGAAAAAGAAAGAGTAATTTCTGTGGGAATAGATTAAAAATTTCTAGATAAATTACTGATAAACTGAATGTCTTAAGTGTATATAAAGATATATTCTACTTTATTTATTTAAATATTTATTTTATCAAAATATTTATATACTGTTTATTAAGGAATGCGAGCATTATTGAAAACTAAGAGATTATTTAAAATTTTTTTGAATGTTTATTCATTTTTGAGCAAGAGAGAGAGAGAGCGTGAGTGGAGGAGGGGCAGAGAGAGAGGGAGACACAGAATCCAAAACAGGCTCCAGGCTCTGAGCTGTCAGCACAGAGCCTGATGCAGGGCTCAAACTCACCAACTGGGAGATCATGACCTGAGCTGAAGTCAGACACTTAACCGCCTAACCGACTGAGCCACCCAGGTGCCCCGACAACTAAGGGGTTATTAACATAATCCATCAATAGGAAAGACCAAAATGTGATAAACTTGGGGCCCCTGGGTGGCTCAGTTGGTTAAGCATCTGACTTCAGCTCAGGTCATGATCTCACCATTCATGAGTTCCAGCCCCACATCGGTCTCTGTGCTGACAGCTCAGAGCCTGGAGCCTCCTTTGGATTCTGTGTGTGTGTCTCTATCTGCCTCTCCCCCATTTGCACTGTGTTTGCCTCTCAGAAATACAAATAAACATTAAAAAATTTTTACAAAAAGGTGATAAACTTGATGGATGTTGAAAAGGCATCTGAAAGTATTCAAAATCAATTTCTGATCAAAAGCATTTAGTTATTTTAAAACAGAAGAATTCTTTCTTAACAAAGAATATTATCTCAAGTTCAGTGCAGAATTTTCTGAGAGGCCAACTAAATAGGTATGTAGAGAACCAAAGAATTTGAACTTGGTATTTGCGAAATACCCACTGAAGTAGTCACCATTAGAAAACAGAATTCACCAGAATTTCTTGATAATATTTTGCAAGTTAATGCTGGTTCTGTTTTGAATTGCATATCGAATCATAATCTTTTCATCCTTTAAGCCTCTATATTGTCTTTATCTGGCTCTGCACATGAAATAGCCAACCTCATTCTTAACAGAGATTGCTTAATGCTTAAGCAATTAGTATTCATATTAAAGTCAATAACAAAACAATGATAGTCATCATCATTTGTATTTTAATAGGTCTACCAATGTAGTGAGACAGGAATAATAAATAAGAGATATAATTATGAGATTCAGGGAGGCAAGATTATCACTTTATGCTAAGGATATGGCTGTTTACTTTGACAATGCAGGAAAGCAATAACAAAAATTTATTAGATATAGTGAAAGACTTCATTAAGGTGATTGATTATAAAAGAAATATACCAAACCATTCATTTTTCTATTTAATTATAATAACAAGTTTGAAAGCATAATGAGAATAAAT